TCCCTGGTGGCCGTCCCGAAACCTTCCCCGACCCAGACGGACTCGTTCTGTTCATGAACGAAATGCGTGAACAAGAAAGAGCCCTGACGACAACACATATGGTCAACTGGATTAAGCGGCACCAAGCGGACTGGCTGCGCTCCTACGTTGCGCGGAAGAAGCCAGGCGCCGGATACCAAAGTCTGCTAAGCCTTCTTCAACGGTTCTGCCATCGACACGGCTTCTCACGTCAACAGCCTGGGAAGAACAAGCAAAGCCAAGCTGCCTTGGTCGAGGTGCGCGACAAGTTTGCAGAGGAGTTCCACCGCGAGTACCGAGGGTTTGGCCCTGAAGCCATCTACAATGTCGATGAGACTGGGTTTCACTATGACATACCGCCTAAGTATATTTGGTCTGCTCGAGGGGGTGATGCCAAGATATCGACTGGTGAGAAGCATTCTCTTTGAATGACTGCTGTTCTCACCGTGCGTGCCAATGGCGACAAGCTGCCAATCCTCTTTGTCATCCGTGAAGCTCCAGGCGGCCGCATCGAAACGTCTGAACTGCCGCTGTTTCCACGTGGCCATGTCTACGCTATGCAGCAGAAGGCGTGGATGGTCAACACCGTGTGGAACTAATACCTGCGGACGCTGCTTGCAAACAACCTGTCCGACCACTCCGTTGTCCTACTCGACAACTTCGCGTCTCATGTCAACGATGACTCCTACCGTATTGTCCACAAAGAGTTGGGTAGCCTGCTTTGTCCCATTCCTCCCAACGCCACGTCAATTTGTCAGCCACTTGATGTCGGGGTGATGGCGCCATTCAAGCGTTACTTGCGCGACGCTTGGCTGACCGAACAGATGATCGACGTCGAAGATGGAGATGACTTTGACACCCCTACCGCTGGTCAAAAGAGATTAGCAATGGTGAAACGTGCCATCGTGGCATGGGACCGCGTGTCACCAGTAGATATTCGCAGGAGCTTTGAGAAAGCTCTCCCAGTCCCTACTAACACTGAGTAAATGGTGTGTTCATGCATCGCATTGATGGTCCTGCATGCCAAAGGCACATTTTAGCCAATGATTTGTTGTGGATATAAATATGAAAAATTAAATAAGTTGCCTATGTCTAATTGTGTTGTTGTATGCAAATTATATTAATTTTGTAAATTATATTAATTTTGAAAAAAGCATGACACTACCCGGGCTCGAACCCGGGTCCCTTCCGCTATCATCATGGATGCCGTCGCACTAACCGTTGCGCCACTGTGTCAAGTGCTATCTTCGTTTCGCGTTCGTAGTTTAAGTGAGTAATCAATTTGATACCCTTATAGTTAGTTCATCGTCACATCCGATACAGCGCTAGCACAATCAATACCATTTCCCAAGAGAATCCAATTGCAAATTTTAATAACCTCCAACAAAAACTGCCCTGATTGGCTACAAAAACAATCGAACTTCGCAGTCCGCTAACCAATAAGCAACCACGTTTCATATCAGGTCGAAGCCCATGTTAGGCGTACCATTCCCTCTTTCTCTGTAGGTCGTGATTTCAGAAAATGCATCATTAACTGTGAATTCGGCGATTTCTGATCCAAAATGTCCAAGGGCATTTGAAAAGTGTAAATATGAGAATTGGGTCAAAGTTGAAAAGTTCGCATCAGGTTAATCAGATTTCATTTTTAAAATGACGTGATTTGAAATTTCACGATAGTTAAAAACAAATGACACTTTTTGACCCTTACAAACGCGAGCTTAAAAAGCTAAGTTTAACGAGAAGAGTAGTTTGGATCCTTTCTAAGTATAACGTTATTGGTCCGATGTTTCAGTGTTTTGCATGGGAACTGCATTTTTGCCTTTAGGATACTAAACAAATACTTGTTCGGTACTATACCTGATGTGTACATGAATGATATGGTGCGATACTAAACAGATACTGTACTAACGTTAGTATGGTACTATACGTCCTACCCCCGGTGAGTACATACGATGCTAAATCGTCGGGGCGAGGTGGTCTAAGTATACAAAGTTCCTTATAAATCTCATTGAAACAGTATTTCGGGTCAAAACAACAGTGGAACTGTTTTAATGAGGGAATTGTACGGAATGTATGGTGGTACATTGAAACATTGAGGCAGTGTCACGCGACATGATAAATCAAGACCAAGACTTACGGCGAGGTCATGATAACGTTAGCTAATGTATTATCAAGACCAAGACTTACGGCAAGGTCATGATAACGTTAGCTAATGTTTTTTGTGTGTGGTTGTGGTGTTGGGCAAGGATGTGATAGGTTTGGCATGGTGTAGTCTTGGCTTTCATTCCTGGTTCTACCTCGAGCTGAGCTCTACCTTGTGTTCTACCCCCTGCCCTCTGGCTTATCCAACAGCGACCATGCTTGCTCGTCTTACCCTCGTCCTTGTCTTCTTGATGACTGCGTCAGGCCAGCGCCCGACGAACGATAAATGCTCTCCTTCATGCACCCTCGATTTCAACCCCGTGTGCGGCTCGGATGGCGTCACCCACTTCAACCCCTGCACCTTTGAATTTGCTCAATGCAACAACTCCAACCTGACCCTTCATGCCCGTGGGGAGTGCGACCCAGCATTCGTGAAGAAGGTAGTATGCGCTGGTGATCGTGTATGCACCCACGAGTTCAAACCCGTGTGCGGCTCGGATGGCGTCACCTACGACAACCGCTGCACCTTTAAATTTGCTCAATGCGACAACCCCAACCTGACCCTTCATGCACGTGGGGAGTGCAACCCAGCATACGTGAAGAAGATAGTATGCGCTGGTGATCGTGTATGCACCCGCGAGCTCGACCCCGTGTGCGGCTCGGATGACGTCACCTACTTCAACCCCTGCACCTTTAAATTTGCTCAATGCAACAACCCCAACCTGACCCTTCATGCCCGTGGGCGATGCGACGCAACAAAATGCTGACCTTGTATCAGAGTTGAAGTGGATCGAAATTGGAGGACAAGATAGTAATCATAACTCAAGCAACGTCAACGTTGCAGAGGTTCATCATCGGAAACGGAGTTCTCGTTCTATGCGCCTGTCGTGGTTTGTTCGGATAATCGTGATCCGGACATACTACAGTAGTTATTTAGGGCTGGTCTGGAGGTCACCATAAAAATTTGCCATAAACCGTTTTGCCAAGTCTGCAAATTTTCCCAAAGTCTCATATCCCATGAAAAAAGGAGAAAAGAAGTATCTACAAAGTTGTCAGGATTCCAGTTGAATCATGGAAAAATTATTCGATTTCCAATTGAAGTGCAAGTCTTCACTGTCAACGTGAACACAAGCCTCCATAAAAAAGTTGGACCAAATCAGTCCATTATTTATGCCATAAAAGTGACGAGTGAGATAATTGCGGCGTCGAACTGCGGCATGCGCTTCGACATGATAGATTTCTACTGTAACGTTTGATTGAATGTGATGTGATAGTCGTCATGTGGGATTCATTTGGTGCCGCATTCGTAGCAGCTACATATAGTCAGAGTGAGGCGGTCTGTGTGTGTAAATCGAAATAAATCTGATGGGTGGGGAATTGAGATTGATCCCTAGGACTCCAATAAATCTCGCTTTCAACCAACACGCGCCGTCCAACACCGAGTGTATAGTCAGAGTGAGGCGGCCTGTGTGTGTAAATCGGAATAAATCTGATGGGTGGGGAAATTGAGATTTATCCCTAGGACTCCAATAAATCTCGCTTTTAACCAACACGCGCCGTCCAACACCGAGTGGACTAGTACTAATGTGCTTTACTGATGATTATTTACTATTAGAGTATGCAAGGAAAGAGTATTTAACAGTTAGTACTGTTAGCACTAACTTCTTGTGTAGTACCAGGATTCAAGGAAGGGTTGGAACACCGCGCAAATTTGTAGGTGCTATTTACAAGACAAGATCAATACCAGTGTTCGAACTTGTAGTTGTGTCGAATGGGGATACCGCCACGAACTGGGCACTGACCTTGGAACGACGCCAGCACTAACTGTTAAATACTACGTAGTACTCTTTATCTTGCATACTAGTACTCTAAGAGCGGATCTGGATGCCACGAAAGATGGCATAAAATGGCCGTTTTTCGAAGAAAAGTTGCAAAAATCGAAATATTGATTTTTCGAGATTTTGTGCGTCTGGATGTTTTATGACATAAATAATGGACCGATTTGGTCTAACTGTTGCCAAAATCGAAATATTCAATTTTGCGAGATTTTGTGCGTCTGAAAGTGATTGGGCACTGGACAGTGGTTGCGGTCACCACCGAACCGGCAATGTAGCCTGGCTTAAAAAGATAAATCCTAATACTTGCTCCTTTTGGATTCAACGTATATTCCTCCAAAAGTAGAAATGGCTGAGCGGTTTGAAGGCGATGATAGACTGATAATCTAGTAGAATCATCTATCCTAACGGTGAATGCCACGGCCCAATGTCCAATGCAATGACACGGACCATTCGAAACCAAGCCGACAGATTGTTTGCGAGGGAATCCCGCCAAGCAGGGTACATCACAGATTGAGGGAGTTCGTGCATGCAACGAATATGCCGCACGTGAAGGTGTTCCAAAACCGCGCTCGGTATTACCGCAGTGTTTGTATGGATGAGCACAACAGTTGTCTACGGTGGTTCGACTGGTGTGTTCAGGGTTGGAATGACGACGAAAGCGCTGCACCGACAGATGAATCGGGACCCATCGACGTTTGTGTTTCATTGGGATGCAACCTACAATATCAATTCGAAGTTATTACGTAAAATAAATATTATACAGGCAGTATTATGTCTTTAAAATCCCAATTAGGGCTAACCATTGTACATGTGGAACGCGTTGAATGATTCACAGTCAACAGTGAAATGTCGACAAAGGTGAATACTGTATAGTAATACCCCGCAGTATACATGGCAAAGATATAATGCATAATATACACCCCTCCAAGTAGTCGTATATGTTGATATTCTGCATTCAGTCAAAATTTGGATTTTATGCTAACTGTTAAAATAATCCATCGTCAAATCATTCATTATCGACTTCATTGCCATTCGATCGCGACTAAGACATTAATCGATTACTACTGCACCGCGAAGTCAACATTGAGATGATAGTGTTTCTTCGTGTCAACGGGTCGTTGTGGGGAGTAGATTTGAATTCTAAAGTAGATTTGAATTAATACAATTATTGGCATCAAAATATTTATGCACTGCCATATCAGGCCCCATACTTACTTTCACCCCTCACACTCGAAGTGCTACTTGCAACAATTACCCAGCATTTCACCTGGGTATCCAATGTACCACATATTATTGTGCTTTTCACCTTTTTTGGCTAATCCAGGTGTGTTGTTTCCCACGCCAGTGCCAACACAAACAACCTAATGGGGGAGTGCCGACTCCCTGCAAACCGCACCACTTGATTGACTTGTTACCACGGAGCTGCAGAAACAAGAGTGAGATTCCGGCAGTTGGTTAGGACAGGTGTTCTGTTTTCTACGTCCTAGTACTACTAGAAACACTATGCCCTTTCTTGTCGGTTCGCCAAGGGTCGGCACCCGGTGGCCTCGGCCGAGGACAACTTGTGTCATGGCGGGGCTTGGATTAAGTCTCCCACCACAGCACACACTTGGGCTTCGCAATTATTTGCCCTCGCTCGCTTCATCGCCTTGCGCAACGCATCGCCTTCGCTAACTATCTTCACGCCTTCAACGTAGTTCGTCACCACGGCCGGGCATTCATGCATGAGCTTCTGCAGCGGTTCCCACGAGGACTCGATATCTTCAAAACCTTCCCAAAGCACTTCAAGCATGAAATCTTTCACATCCGGGACAATGTTAAGTCCCGCGATGGACTTGACCTTCAGCATGATCCCTTGCTCGGAAACGTGTTCAAGGGTCTCTTCGGCCACTTCAAAGCTGTCTTCAACGTAGAGCTTGACTCTTGATGCGTGTGCTTCCCGCAGATCATGGGTCACCAGATGCTTCAAAACGACGGAGAATTCGCCCACCTTCTTGACTCGGTAGGGGTCCGTCAGGTCACAAGGAGCTTGTGGTGATAGCTTTCGTCGACGCAGGACCATAGCATATAGTCGCCTTCGCTGACATTGCGACTGTTCGTATTTCTCGGTTGCCTTAGCAGCGCTCATCGCCTTCTTGTCTAGGACAGAAGTCATGTTTGTGCATGACTTGTAGGCTAGGACGCAGCTTGTCCAAGTTTTTGGGGATGTCCTTGACCGTCCAGTCGCTCTCTCGGAGTTCCTTGTTCATGCCCACCACGACGACATCCAGGGGAGTCGCTGGGTTTAAAGCTGTGAGAAGCTCCATCAGCGACTTACTCGCCAATGATGCGGCCGGTGTTTGGTTGAGGTTGGCTTGAACCACCGGCAATAGGTAGTCCCATTCTTGTTCGGCTAGCTGGTACTCGCGCAGCATGACCCGCATCACTTGGAGGATGTCGCGGTTCATGCGCTCAACCGTTCCATTGCGCCAGGGCGAGTAGGCCAAGGTTAGGTCATGATGGACCTTCAACTTGTGGGCCTACGCCTTCATAGCCACGTTTTTGAAATGGGTTCCTTGGTCGCTGACCCAGACTCATGGCATTCCTAACCGCTTCGTCCAGTCCACCAGGGCACATACTTGGCTCGTGGGGCCATCGCATGCAATGAGCTCGCAGTAGTGGGTAAGATCGTCTTTGAGTACCAGCCATGGTCCCGACGTATTTTGTCCCGCTTGGTCGCCAGATTTGGTGTCGGCTGACCACAACGGCTCATCATATCCGCCCAAAGGTTGTGGATGCCGTCGATGTGTATGATGTCATAACGATAGCCGCCAATAATGGCAGCCCATCGCATGAGTTTGCCGCATGCGTGCGCCTTCCATTCTTCGCCCGGGCAAAGACATGAATGAGGGTTTTGTGATCACAGTACATCTTAAACCCCATAGGTCGCATAATCATGTATTTGAGCTTCTCACACGCACCCGAAATAGTACGTAGGCCTCCTTTTCGATGACTGACCACGCCTTCTGGGCGCCCGCAAACATTCCCGACTGACATAAGAGCACTTCGTGACTTTGTTCTTGGACTGGGCTGTCATCATGGAATGCCTCCACTTGAGTTACCACAATCGACCCTCCACAATCGCTCACATGCGTGAACAAACACATCGTGGCGTCATCACGCGGGTTAGACAGTTCCACTGATGATCGTAGCTTGGATTTAACGGCGTCAAACGCTTGCTTCTCGCCGTCGGTTAGCTCCAACAGAACACCAGACGCGATCCGCTTCTTCTTGCCCTTGCCGTCGAGGGCCTTCGTCAGACACTGATTCAGTGGGTCGACGGTTTGTCCGTACTATGTCATCGAGCCCCGCAGCCAGTTCATGGCACACATAAACTGCTGCAATTCTCCCCCATTCGTAGGGTAGGGGATCGCACACAGATGTACTATGCGTTCAGGGTCTTGCAACCATTTTAGACCGACCTGGGCTTTATTTAACAAGGACGAGAACGCGTCGTTCCTGCTAGCTGTGGGCATATCTCCCATGCTATCTCAGGGTATATTGCTGCCTCTGCTTATCCGGTTGGTGCGGGAGAAGGGCGTGGTGGCCATCTCCATGCTATCGTATGACGTCATGAGCGGGCTTTACCTCGTCGTGCTGGCCACGCACTCCAAGTTGGTCGTCCTGGCCGTCGCCGTCTGCTCGGGCTTGGGGACATTGGCTTTGCCGCCATCTCGTCGCTCAAGTCGACCCACGTGTCAGAGCAGGTGGGTTGATCAAAACGTCATCTTTTATGCTTTGTATACTATATATTGATAGTAGAGCCAAACTAGTTAACAGGGTCCGGCGAGTGTGTGACCAATCACTCTACTTTAGCCATACACTATTTCGTTGTGGATGGGTTGAACCGATTATTTTCTGGATTCTGATTGGCTCAATTCTTCTGCACTTAATTTGGTGGTGTGTCGATAGTGAAGAGACTGAACAAGCAGACGGATGGCAGAGAAGAAAGAAGCACTAGCGTAGGTGTTCCGGAGATGTCAAGCAACGGAACAGATCACTTGTGTAGGAGGCGGTAAAACCAGAAGTGACATTAGAGGTGGGAGTTCAAAGCCCGTTTAACTACTGGTCTATATTCGGGGACGTGATGAGATGTGATTGGATAGATGGACAACGTGGTGGGTTGTGATAGGCCAGATCTTGAGAGTCACCGTCCGTTTTATGAGTGTTTTATGCGCCCTTGATGGGTAGGAGACTGAGACGGATAGACTAGAGCAGATGTGAGTGAAAGAGAGGAGACACAGGGTTGGCAGAATGCACAACTTGACAGCCACCACAGTCTGGCAACCAGAAATGTCAACGAACGGTGAAGCGGCAGGACTCACGTATGCGCAGCCCCACGCCACCATGAGGTCGGACGTGAGACGTGAGAAGGTGAATGGAAGAAGACGATAGATGTTGTAATGGTTAAAAGACTGTAGACGGTACCAAATACGATAGGCAAGTATAAAGATAGAGCATGCCGTCGCTTGGAGGTAGAAGGTGCGTGCCGTCGCACGACTTTGAAAGATGGTAGATGTAAATTGAGAGGAGAAGACGGTTATGATGAATGTAGGAGAGACAGTTGTGGAGATAAATGGCAAGGTAAGGAGACGGATGTGTAGTAGGAACTTGTGGACGATATAGTGCTTAGACGACAAAGGTAAGCATGAGTGGGTAGTATTGACGGTGGCGAAGACGGTTCTGTGTAGAATGATTAGACTCGAATTGGGTGAGACGATGCAAGGGAGACGATGGACAGTCGTTCACGGAAGGATTGGAAGACTGGGGCAGGGTGTGCCTTGGTAAAGAAGTCGGCGAGTTGGTTGGCGGTCGGGCACCACTTGAGTTCAAATTCGCCGCTGTCGATGAGATCTCGGACAAACATGAAGCGTACGTCGATATGTTTGGGGCAGCCATGTAGTTCAGCGTTGGTTGCGATATTAATGGTAGATTGGTTGTCCTCGTGGATGACAATTGGTTGGGCAGACGTTTGACCAAGTTCTTCACCAAGTTGACGGAGATAGAGCAGCTCCTGTATGCAAAGAGCGAGGGCTAAGAATTCGGCCTCAGTGGGGGAGAGAGTGACGAGAGACTGTTTCTTGGCAAGCCAAGAGACTGGGCATCCGAAACGAAGGGTAAGAAAGCCGCTGACGCATCTGCGAGTGTCGATACACATGGCGTAGTTGGCGTCGACATAGGCAGAGAGAAAAGGGGAGGATGTAGTTGCGGAGACGCCACCAAGACGGATATCGTGGGAGACTGTGCCGACGAGATAGCGTAGGGCGCGGTTGGCTGCGGTCCAATGATCACGTCCGGGGTTTTGAAGAAATTGGCTGAGTTGTTGTAGAGTGTAGGCAAGGTCGGGGCGAGTACCTATGGCGAGGTACATGAGACTGCCGACGACAGAACGATAGTTGTGAGTGGCCATGAAGACTTTGTCCTCGGAGAATCAGCGCCTTGAGAAGTAGAGATAGATCGACTCCTGGGCGAGATGGAGTGGTGGCAGGGTTGGCGTCGGTCATGCCAAAACGTTCAAGAATTGTTTCGGTGTAACGAGTTTGGTGCAGGAAGACGGAGAGTTCGGCACGATAACGGACGACTTGCCAGCTAACGATGTCGGAGACGGGGCCGAGGTCTTTCATGGAGAACCGAGCAGACATAGCAGACTTCATGCTGTTGACGAGGTCGAGGGTCGGCGCGAAGATGAGGAGGCTGATGATAATGAACGACGTGGATGTGGTTTTGGTGAAGACACATCGGTCTTTGTGTAGACGGGTGAAGTGTTGAGACGTCATGAACTCGACGAAGGTGAGATACCAGAGGTAGGGTGCTTGCTTTAGACCGTAGAGACTGCGTTTGTGAAGGCAGACGTAATCGCGGCGAGACGTAGGGTCGATGAGGTCACCGGGGGGTTGATCCATGCAAATGGGGCGATCGATAGCGCCGTTGAGGAAAGCGGTGTCGATATCCATTTTATGGTATTCGAAATCGTAGACGGCTATGAGGGTGAACAGGTAGCGTAATTCCTCGAGACGAACAACAGGGGCAAAAATTTCATCGTAGTCAACGCCATGTTTTTGGGGGTAGCACAATGAGACGGGCCTTGTAGGTGCCGTTGGGTTTGACGCGGAAGACCCATCGGCAAGTGAGTGGGCGTGAAGGTGAGGAGCGTCGAGGAACGAGTTCGTAGGTTTTGTTGGCTTGGAGGGAGTTGAATTCGGCTTGTGCTGCTGCGAGCCATTGATCGCGATCGGGGCGGCGCATCGCTTCGTTCCAGGTGAAAGGATCACCAGTGGGAACTTTGGCCCCAAGGAGGGCGTAGGTGAAGGTGGGAGGAAAGACGGATGGGTTTAGTGGAGTGAGCGTACGAGACGGTGGCAGGTGGAAAGGTAACGTGGGGGGAGAGGAGCGAGTATGGAACATCAAGCATGGAGTGAAGAGGTGGAAGTGGTGCGTTGGGATGAAATGAAGTTGTGGGCGATATGCCGGATCTTTTGCTTGATGACGGTGGAGGGCAGCGGCTTCGAGGGTGTTGATGGCCGGGTATTTATCTTCAGAAAAAGTAACATCGCGAGAGTAGACGAGTTCATGGGAGTGAAGGTTGAGGAGTTTGTATCCCTTTCGGTCATCTGGGAGTCCAATGAACATGGTCTTGAGAGCACGGGGATCCAACTTGTTGATTTGAACGGATTTCTGGATGTGGACAAACGCTGTACACCCGAATGTCTTGATGACTCCGAGGGGTGGATGGCGAGAGTAGACGTAGCAATAGGGGATTTGCCGTCATTGGCTGTAGACGGAGTGACGTTGTAGGGCCAGGCAGCGTAGACGGCAGCTTCGGCCCAGAGGAACTTCGGGAGGTCACCGGCAAGTAGGAGAGCGCGGGTTTTCATCACTATGATGCCGATGTGGCGTTCAGCGACTGCGGTTTAAGATGGAGAGTAGGCGTTGCTGAACGTAGTTTTGGTGTGGTACTTGGCGAGCACGAGGCGACCAAGCTTTTCGAATACCTTCGCATTGTCCGCTTGGAGGTTGCCTATGTCGGACGGTGCCGCGTAGCGAATGGTGTCGATATCACGTTTGAAGATAGACGTAGCATGCAGACGGAATCGTTCGTAGACTAAGTAAAGGTCTTGTCATTTGGCAATGGGGTAGATCCACGTAAAACGCGAGAAATCGTCAACAAAAATGACGAAGTAGGAAGAGCCGCCAATGGACTGAGCAGGGCATGGGCCTCATATGTCAGAGTGCACGAGAGTGAGGTAGGTGTTGGCGCGGAAGACGGCCTCAGAGCAGAAGTCGACGCGACTTCGCGTACTCACTGACGTCGCAGTCGAAGGGTTTGAAGTTCCGTGTGCGATAGCCGGAGAGTTCGGGGTGGTCGGCAACGAGAGAGCGGAAGACGGTGGCACTGGGGTGGCCAAGACGTTCGTGCCATCGTCGAAGAAGGGCATCGTTGGGCAGACGAGAGTCGCCAACTAGAGTAAGGGCGCACTCGGGAAGGATGGAGAGAGTAGGATCGAGGAGATGGGTAGTTGATGGAGAGCCGAGGATTTTGGTAAGTAGAGAGCCGTAGGAGGAGGGTGGTGGGGGAGAAGACGAGGCGGGAGTGATGAGGGGATCAAGTTGGGAATAGGATGCGTTGGTAGACGAATACAGAAGAGAAGACGGAGGCAGAAATATTGGAGGGTAGCATAATACGCCAGGATAAATATGATGTGCAATTGATCAATTACAAGCGTGGACGGCGGGAGCGTCGTTGGGAACGCATTGAGGGCTTGGTGGTGAGAAGGGAAATGAGCAGACAACGTGAAGGCTGTGCTGTGTAGAGACGGTGGGTGGGATGGTAGGGGTGGACTGACTGGGTTCGCCATGAGGAAGGCTTTGAAACCGTCAAACATGGCCCGGGTTGTGAGAGTGACACGAGGTGGGAGAGGGGAGCCAGGGGGTACTCCCGTGGCCGAGAAGGAGTAGAGCCCCAAGATGTTCACAGCGGCACGAAAGTAGTAGGCTTTGTCTAGGATGAACAGACACTGCTCAGGGTGGTCGAATTTCACCTGATATCCGGAGGAGACTGCGTGGCGCACGGAGAGGAGGTTGATCTTGAGGTTAGGACAGTAGAGACCAAAGGGCAAGGAGAGGAAGTGGGGTTCGGAGTGATGGTCGGGACCCTTGGTGATGTTGCGCGATAAAACGGTTAAGTCCACGGGTCCGTAACCGAGAATGGGAAGTTGACCACCGTCCCCAACGGTAAGGGTCATAGAGCACGAGCGGAACTTGGACAGGCGGAAGTAGGACTTGTGAGGCGTGCAAGAGACAGTGGCACCCGAGTCGATGATCCGGTCTTGAGAGAGTTGAGGACAAGAGTCAGACTTGTAGACGGTAGGAGCAGACGATTCATCGTAAGAGACTTTGAGACTGAGAGACGAGTCAACAAGACCAACGTGAAAGGCGAAGTGATCGTGAGTAGGGGCAAGTCCAGCTCGCCATGCGTCAGCTGGGTTGGCCACCGGAGGTGCGGTGGAGTCAAAGAATTCTTCCACAGTGTCCTGTGGCGAAGTGCGAGTATTGTCTTGAGCCCAGGGTGCACGAGGTGCGCGGATGCGGTAGTGAGTTTTGGATGGTTTGACGGGGGTGATGTGGTAGGTAGTTATTGGACTTGTCGTAGACGTGTTGGCGGAAAGCCTTGGCGACTAACGGCTGCATGTGTTGGACAGTAGGGTGGTAGGAGCCTTCATTTTCTTCGAAAGCTTGGTCTTCATCGCCAGACGATTAGGCCTTGCCGAGGGGGGGTGGAGCAAGTGGTTCATCGAAGTCGTTGTCAGAGGGGGAAGGGATGTGCCAGGAGATGCCGACGGAGGAGTTCATTTTCTTCCACAAGCGTTTGGAGACGTGGGCAGGACGAGTGTTGGGAATACTGTTGGCGTTGATGTGGACTGACAAAGGGGAGGTGGTACGAGGAGTAGGTTGAGACGTCGTAGAAGACGAAGACGAGGTTGGGAAGAGACGGGTTTGGAGAGATAGGTGGTAGAAGGAGAAGGAGTAGGTAAGCGAGCAGGAGATGTCCGAGAATGACTGGGCTTAGACGGATTAGATTTAGGACGTGGCTTGGTTGAAGAGTTCATGTGGGTGGTGAACGTGTTCGTTGAGCGAGGATGAGGAGAACGACGCGCGGACGAAGACTGCGGCAGATAGGGAGAGGAAGTAGAGTTGGGAGGCGGCTTGGTTGAGGAAGCAATGGTTGTCGTAGACGACAGGGGCAGTGAATGTGTCGCGGTTGTGAGAGCAGTGTTGGAAGTGTGATTTGGGGAGGCCCAAGTAGCATTGGATGGTAGAAGTGGTTTTGACGAGGGGGGGTGATGCGGGATTGACCCGAAGAATGCATGGGGTGGGGTGGCCGAGATGCAGCTGGGGCAGGGGATGGAAGACGTGCAGGAGATGGATGCAAGGGAGACGGAGCAGGAGAAGGTGGAGACGGTAGCACGTGATGCATGGCCATCCGCGGAGGCGCGGCGCCGGCTGTTAGCGCGAGTACTTCGATTGTTGGTGTCTTGGTTGCGCCGAGATTGATCGGTCGTTGATGTGCGGGCCGGCTGATTGCTGTCTCGTGGAGGATAACGACTGCGGTCGTTGCTATCGTCGTCATCACGACGACGGGAAGCTCGGTGATGTTGAGCATGGTCGTCTTGAATGGCGGGTGAAGAAGTCGACTTGCGGCCACCATGCTTTTTGAAGATGTTGGTAGGAACATGGGGACGAGGTGTGTTCCGATTGTAGTCGTAGACGATCTCATCGCAGCTGTCCATAGCATGCCCAGGTTGGCCGCAGTAGAAGCAAGATTTTCCAGGATTAAGACGATAGTCGGCATGGGCCCAAGACGGTAACGTGAGAGAGTGTGCGACGAAAGCCGTCGGAGCAGACGGGGCAGACGACGGGTAGGCAGGAGCAGCAAGATGTTGGAGACGGGTAGTGGAATCGGCAGAGCCATGTTGATCAAGCATTTGATGATGCTTGAGGTCCACCTGAATGATTTCCGTAATTGTGCGCTGGAGAACTGCGAGTGACCAGACTTTACCAGCGTTCTTGGCCTTCATTTGCATCTTGCACAGAGACTTCCAGATGGTGGATTCTTCGACGAAGGCATTGCAAAGGTAGATCGAGTGAAATTGCTCCCAATAGAAGTCATGGACTTGCTGAGGAGTCATCGATGCGAGGACGGGGGGATCATGGCATGTTGACATTGCTTTACCAAGCTGGCCAGTGTGGCATCAAGAGCACGAGCGCCAAGACTGGAGGAGTACTTCAACTCGTTGATCTTCGCGATCAAGGTCGTCGGATCGTTCACGTTGTTGTCAACTTCGTGACGTTCGAGAATGGCAGTCCAAAGAAGAGACATAGAGGTGTAAGAGTCCCACGCAGTGTGGACAGACGGAGCAAAATACGATAGCAGATACTGTACTACGTTTGCCCGAGCCATCGAGTCATCTCCTCCAGCGTTACAGTCGTCACTGTGCGTAGCGTGTCGCTTTTGGCCTTGGCCACGATTGCTTTTCTCGCGGCAAGTCCGGCGTCTTCGTAGTTGTCGAGCGAGTAGGTGTCAGGGTTAGTCATTCGATCGTAGTCCAGGGCTTCCTTGTCTTTGGTGAAGGCATCGCTCTTGAGAGTAGGAGGAACGTAGGCTGAATCCACGTAGTACCGCATGATCCCAATACTGCTGCCGTCGTTCTGGCATTGCGGCTTCCAGGCAGCGAACGATTGAGGGCTGAAGTCAAGGATGGCCCCAGAGTAGGGTATGATCGAGGTGGAAGGGCTCGTAACCAGTGAAGAGACTGAACAAGCAGACGGATGGCAGAGAAGAAAGAAGCACTAGCGCATGTGTCCGGAGTTATCAAGCAACGGAACAGATCACTTGTGTAGGAGGCGGTAAAACCAGAAGTGACATTAGAGGTGGGAGTTCAAAGCCCGTTTAACTACTGGTCTATATTCGGGGACGTGATGAGATGTGATTGGATAGATGGACAACGTGGTGGGTTGTGATAGGCCAGATCTTGAGAGTCACCGTCCGTTTAATGAGTGTTTTATGCGCCCATTATGGGTAGGAGATTGAGGCGGATAGACTAGAGCAGACGTGAGTGAAAGAGAGGAGACACAGGGTTGGCAGAATGCACAACTTGACATCGATGACATTGCTCACGTTTTGAAGAAATCCAACCATATGACGATATTAGCCTTTTACCCAAATTTTGGTTGACTTTTGTGTTGATTTTCGCCAAACCTATCGATCGATTCATTGCACGAACTTTTGTATGTCCGATGTCACACACCAATTTCAGTCACACACGAAATCATGGACGAGTGTATTAAAATTGGCCGCTTGATTCGTGTTCTGTGTTTTGATTGGTCGGTGTATACTCCAGTTATAAAGAATCGATAATATACCGTCCAAACTAGAACCTATGCTCATAATGTGCTTTCGAGTGAAATTTCGTGTTGTGTCGTGGTTTCTCGTTGGAATTTAACTCGATTTGATTGGCTACCTCAGATGAGCTCAAAATTATTAGCCAATCAAAGCTCTCAATCAAATTCAACCAATCAGATCGATTGAGGAGCGGTTTGGTTGCCCCCTCCCCAAATTTGTATCCAATCGACAATATTGATCTCATTTAAATCAGGAACAAGGCCGGGTACAGGGGGCTCTGTACGCCGTGCGCGCCATCGCGTCTGCGATTGGTCCGCTGGCGTATTCCGCCTTGTACAGTGCAGGACAAGGGAAAGGCGCGCCGTTTGAGTTGTCTTTGGCGCTGTATGCGGTGGCCACGGGCGTGTCGTGCTTCTTGTCCAGTAGTGACCATAGTGACTACTTAGTGCCCGTAGCAGTGACATTGGACTTGTCGGT